TAATTTACTTTTCGAACCATTTCAGCTGATGTTGCTGTTTTCTTCCGTCCACTTCCTTGACGTCGGGCTACGCTACCAGTATCACGGTAAAGAGCGATGGTACGAGACACAAAAGATTTATTCACATTTACATGCTGGAGTGCTTAACGATAGAAATTTGTGGTTTTCCAGCCAAATGTAAAGAAATCACACTATCACGCTTGAATTCGATCACGAATAAATTGTTTTCTGAAAAATTCTCACCAAAATGTGTTTGTACCCTTGTAAACAATATAATGAGCTGTCACTGGAATAATTTTAAAAGCTGTCGGACGAGTGGCTTAGAAATGACAGCAGTCTAAAGTTCTTTGCATCTTTTTCATTGGTGAAGGGTATGAAAATATGATATTAATGTTCTCCTTTGACAAAATATTAACTCCGCATCAAGGCAAATGTATAGGGTAGTGATATCGGAAAATTTGAATTTGTCTTGTCAAATATTTTCTTTATGTTTTTGAGGCGAATAACACTACCTTTTTTGTTTGCCTTGTTCTCCATTACATCCATTTTTGCCAATAAACCTAATTTCCAAAAAACATATCAAATTCCATTTATTTTGCCGAAACTAATTGTTTTGCAAGACCCTTTCTTTTTTAATATCCCCAAGTCGGTTTGGTGATAATGAGCTGCTATTAAAACATTTTGTTTTCCATTGGTTTCAAAACGTTCCTCTGTTTGTGGGTTTATATACATATCCCATATCTTTGGGGGGTATTATAAAAAAATATGCTTTCTCATTGCAGCTTATTAAAATATTCTCTTTACGCTGAGTTATGTGTTTAGCTTGTTGCTTGGTGTTGCCACACACAAACACATGTGGCTAATAACCCAGCCAGCCTGGCTGGTTAGTTGTCCATCAGCTGGGAAAACGGGTCATAATGGCTAATAGCTTGGTTTGGGGGTTTTATTTTCTTTTCATTTCATTTTTTTACCACTTTTGACAACAATCACCAATTTCAAAACAAGATACCACCCTACCAACCAACAACTAGCAGTAGTTTGAAGATACATCAACAGGTCGGTAGGTTTTGTTATGGTTTTCCCTTTCACGTTTTTTCAAGGCACATTATAAAGAGATTTTAAAAGTGTTGTTATTTAATGATATGATGACCGTTTGGTCGTTCGTTTTCCTTGTTTTTCTAATTCGTTCCGATTATGCATTTTCCTCATAAAACGCTTTAATTGTAATTGCTCACACTGGGACGTTTTTAGTTTCAGCCTTGTTAAAAGTCGTTTACTACCACATTGCATACTTTTAGGCTGAACAAAAATTTAAAATGTTTCCCTCAGAATGTCAAGAGTTATATTGAGCAGAAATTGAAGGGAAAAAAGAAAAGAAAACCAATTAAAAAAATTGCCAAGAAAGCATAAAAATTCACTAATATATAGAGAGGGTACGAGGAGTCCAGAGAGATTTAGTGGAGACATTACATAAGACAATACAACTTTGATATTTATGGGGGCGATTTGAGCAATAAGTCCACAATAATTTAGTAGCCGCTCCAATCTGAGACTTTCAGACTCTTCTGATTATAGAAAAACGGAATCTACTGTATTGGAATTTTGATAGCGTTTCAATGGGGACCAATTGAAAGTATAAATAACATTGATGAACAAAAGTTTAATTGCGGTTAGTTCTATTCTCAAGCAACCTTAGTTGTTTTCCAAAGTTTAAAATGATATTAAAGTCTACATCCGATCTGAAGGTAAGTCTCCATGCCGCATCTAACAAATATTTTATGACACTTTTGCAGTTACCTTCGTGTCGTAATACAAAAACATACCAATAGTCTGCAGTAGAAAGGGGTACTTGTCACTTCATTTAGACGTTAAAGATTTATTCCAGAAGGTGATAGATCCATTGTGAGTCACAGCTCAACTTATTAAGGGAGATTTAGGTATATGTTCTATAACGGGATAATTCTGGACGAATTTATCTGGACGTTCTAGTTGGGGTGCTATTTGCCATCTAGATCCCGGTCTCCTTTTAAATGCTGTCCGTGAACTTACTCAAAACAGTTTAATATACCAATGTGTATTTTAGAGGGGCGCGAGGGGGGAAAACGCATATAGCGGATTAGGTCTGCTTGACTTTTGACGTATAGTCATGAGCACTATTGTGATGACATTTAAGTTGTTAAATAACTCAACCGCCTTTGATTTGTGTCTTTTTGTAATGGAATTCCGCACCAGTGCCATTCTTAGAGACCTCTTGATAAATTGCCATTTGAGGCCATGTCCGCGAACTTACTCAAAACAGTTTAATATACCAATGTGTATTTTAGAGGGCGCTAGGGGTGAAGACGCATATATTGGATTAGGTCTGCTTGACTTTTGACATATATATATAGTCATGAGCGCTGTTGTGATGACATTTAAGTTGTTTAATAACTCAACCGCCTTTGATTTGTGTCTTTTTGTAATGGAATTCCGCACCAGTGCCATCCTTAGAGACCTCTTGATAAATTGCCATTTGAAGGAAATATACCTCTGTTTCAGCTTTTATAAGCCAAAATACTGTCATGTATTCACGGACAAAACTATGTTCTTTTGGCTCACGGTGTGTCATCCTTTCATATCTAATAAACTGCCAAACCGTCTGTAGGAGGTACAACTACTGTTCACCTTTTATAAGGTGGTAGGTCGGTCTGTGGTCAGCTCTTATGTTCCAATACAAGTGCTACGCAGTGGAAGAATATCTAAACCTGCTAGAATACTGCCCTAAGAGCAGTAGAGGATGTACATGAGAAGGCGAAGGTCCCTCCCGTACAACAGCATAACCATATGCTTTCGTTACAATACCTGCTTGGATGCTATGACGGGAGTCATCCAATCCATCATATGGTAGATACCACTCTCCCCATCCAAGATGTCAGAGAGGTATCATACACCATCTAGAAAGATAGGTCCATCGCTATGAGAGAGAGCCTCTAGCTCAAGTACCCTATCAGGCAGGTCTGAGTGGCATTTATACTGATGCAGTCACAGATATCATCAGCAATTACAGTATGAACGCCATCCTCGGAGTACAGCCACCCTTCCCCCACCATCCATTGCAGCTGAAGAACGTCGGCTAGGCACGAAGATGTACGCTTTCCTGTCAAACATACCCCACTCCAGAAGATCTTTGGTTATAGCCCGCAAAAGTAGCCGAATGTTTAAATCTGGAATAGCAGAAATAAAAAAAAAAAAACAAGTAAAAAAAACAGTTCGGTCGGGCCGATCTTTGAATACCCTCCACCATTCGGAACAAATTTGAAAATTTTCGAAAAATAAATAAAAAAAGAATTCTGTTAAAATCTTAAAAATACCGAATACAAAAATCGCGGTTATAGTGGGGCCTATACGAAGTCGTGGACTTGTATAGGCCATTACAATATTCAAATACGAAATTAAAAAAAAATAATGTAGCTAAAATTATCAAAATACCGAATTTAGGGAGGTGTTATATGGGGGATATACGAAGACCTGTACCTGTATAGACAATTTCATGTCACAGGCTCTAGTACCTATTAGGTATTTCAAATACAAAATTTGAAAGAATTCCTAAATACTGAATATCTGAGGATACTGTTATATGGACGTTATACTTAAACGTGGACCTATGTAGACAATTCTCTTCCTGGGGATAAGGTATTAAGAAAAAACACTTGTGTGGATTTTCAGACAATTCCGTTTGAAAATGTGGCTAAAATAATCAAAATACCGAATATCGGGAGGAACCGTTATATGGGGGCTATACGATATCGTGAACCGATAAAGCCCATCTTCGAACTTGACCTGCCTGCCCTAGTTCAGATTTAGAGGCTGAAATGCAAGCGAGCCATTGCCAAATCACGAATTGACAGGTGTTTTTCGCATTCATCCTCTATTAGAGATATTTCTGCATTTGGAGGAAGTTATTCCTAGTTCCTAGCCGAAATGCAAGCCAGCCACTGCCAAATCAGGGTAGTTTGCCTGACCAACGTTACCGTTCATGCCAGAGTTAGAGGAGATCATAATGATGCGGCCATTGTTTTGCTTCTTCATGTAGGGCCATGCAGCTTGAGTTACCTTGAAACTGCCCTTTAAGTGGAAATGCAAACCAGCCACTGCCAAATTACGAATTCGCAGGTGTTTTTGTTTTATTATAAAAATGTCTCCATTTGGAGGAAGTTATTCTTAGTTCAGATTTATAAGCCGAAATGCAAGCCAGCTATTGCCAAATCATGAATTGACAGCTACGCCTCTACTTCTGGCTTTTTTGCCTCCGGGTATTGCTATACTTAATGAGTCAAAATTAAGGAAAGTTGAAATTTAGCTACAATAAAACAATGTACTCCCCCGATATTCTGCCCCGCTGTTCTGTTTAACCCCTGCCACAAGTCCTTGCACATCTAGTCACCTGAAGATCCAATTTTTACATATTAAGGAGATCTTGAGATCTATTTTGCTCTTCCGTCTGTACATAAAGTTTCATCACCTCACCCAGCACGGGTAGGTAAATGGAAAGATTACGTTTCTAAATGCCTTTCTTTGTTCGGTTTTTTGCAAAACCATTGTTATAGGCTCAACTTGTCAAAAAAATCTGTTTGAATGTCCACATAATCAGCAGTAGTCGCTGGATTGTTAGTGAGAAGGGGAAAATTGGCCAACTTAACTCTTTTCATACGTCATTTCGTCGTGGAGAATTGGTTTTGCTTCCCAGAAGTTCCCAAAAACACCAATTTTTTGAAAGCACGTATCCTAATACCATTCAAATTTCATTTTAAATATTGCAACAAAGTGCCACAAATTTATAATCCGTCCTGATAATACAATAAAAATATACTTTGGAAAATATACCTTTGTACCGACCTAGCCATATCAATTTGATTACTATTCCACACGAAACATTAGGTAATCTTATCAATGTTAAAGCGTAGCAAAAATTCACAACAAATTTTCTCGTACATCATTGGAAAAGGCAAAAACTCAGAATATTTTAAATACACTTATTTTATATACACATATATATTTTTTTCGAACGTAAAAAACAGAAAAAACAATAATGGAATTCTTATACCAGTCTACAAACGTTTAACCATATACAAAAGGTTTCCTTAATTATAAAAAAATTGTATCTTCCTTCGGAATTAAGAGCTGGGTATTTACAATTTGGCCGATGTATCTTTTAGATCAACATAGGCACCGGTAATGACATCCTTGCCAGTCTCCACGACGCTGGTACGGAAATGAATACGTTTGCCTTCCTTCCACATGTCAACCTTCAAGGTTTGGCCGGGTACAACGGGGGCAGCGAAACGGGCCTTAACGGCCTTGAACAAGGCGGAATTGTTGTTGGCATATTGAGCCAAAACGGCGCGCACCGAGAAGCCCAAAGAGCAGAGACCATGCAAAATGGGTACCTTGAAACCGGAGATGGCAGCAAAGTTGGGATCAATGTGCAAGGGATTCAAATCACCAGACATGCGATACAAGGCAGCTTGATCTTCGTTGGTCTTGTATTGGATGAAGGAGTCTGGAGCACGGTTGGGAGCAGCAACAACTGGTACCACACCTTGAATGGGATTCTTTTTGCCACCGAATTTTCCAGCACCAACAACAAAAATGCTGCTTTGGTTCTTAACCAAGAGACGGCCATTTTCGTCGTAGCTATCACAGTTGGTAACAACAACGGCACCGGAGCCCTTGTCCATAACATCGAAAACTTTGCCGGTTGTGGTCAATTTGCCATTGGTGGGGATGTCATCACAGATTTCCAAATATTGTTCGCCATGCAAAATGTTGGTAAGGTTGGCTTTGCCTTCGGGCAAAGCAGTTGCCACCAAACTGCTGGTCATGCTCAACATAAGACCAGGCATAACAAAGAAGGTTGGAATGGCGGTGAAGTCAGGATCGTTTTCGTACAAGAATTTCAAATCATTGCTGTTCTTGGTGGTAGCACCAACACCCAAGGCATAGACAATCAAGTCCTTCGAACCGAATTTGAAGACATCTTCGAAATCACTCAAACCGCCTTCCTTGAGTTTTTCCAAAACTTCAAGCAAGTAACCCGAAGCCTCGCCAATGGCATTCAAGTGTTTGGCTTCGCTCATGTCAGTGACCTTGCCCCAGGCCTTTTGGACAGCTTCCAGGCTAATGGAGTCTTGTTCAATGGATGTGCGGAGCACGGTACCCTTGCCGCGGACAGAGTGAACCTTGGTGGCCCAACCGGCAGCACTTTCAATGTAGGTTCCTGTAATTTAAGAGGGATTAGATAGGAATACTTTCTTAACGGGAATTCTTTTGCTTACCATTTTCATCACAAGATTCGTGGCACATGTAGACCACAACGGGAGCAATCAATTTTGGCTTTAATTCATTGAAGAGCATATCGGGCAAAATGCCTTCAGTCATACGACTGGCAGCAGTGGGCAAAATAACATTGCAGTGAATGTTGTTCTTGGCCCCCTCAATGGCCACGGTATTGGCCAAACCAACCAAACCCATCTTGGCAGCAGAGTAATTGGCCTGACCAAAGTTACCATACATGCCAGAGTTGGAGGAGGTCATAATGATGCGGCCATAGTTTTGTTTCTTCATGTAGGGCCATGCAGCTTGGGTTACCTTGAAACTACCCTTCAAGTGGACATCATGCACCAAATTCCAATCCTGTTCGGAGATTTTGGCAATGCTGCGATCACGCAAAATCCCGGCATTGTTGATGATAATATCAACACGACCGTAAGCCTTGATGGCGGTATCAACGACCTTGTCGCCATCGACAACGGAGTTGTAGTCGGCCACAGCCTCACCGCCGTTGGCCTTGATTTCATTGACCACAACATCGGCGGCACGAGTAGATGCACCCTCACCACTGTGGGTGCCACCCAAATCATTGACCACAACCTTGGCACCACGGGAAGCCAAAAGCATGGCATATTCGCGACCCAAACCGGCACCGGCACCAGTTACGATAGCAACACGTCCATCAAAACGCAATTGATCAGCCATTTTTCTGTAGTTTCTCACACGCTCCTTCTTTGCACAACGACGGTCAAACCCGAACTGAGTGAAATTGTTGGCTGAAACAAAAAATTAAAACAAATTAAATGTTAATATATTCTTTTACTATCAAAGTTCAATTTGTGTTAGGTTTGTGTTTCTCTTCTATCTGAAAGAACAACTAGGTAAATAGAAGTTGCACTTTGCGATAATGTTACGCGTTGGTGTGGTAGTGAGTGGGGTGCTTCTGAGAGTAGTTCGTTGAGAACAATGACTTGGCGATTGATAACAAACTCGATGGAGAGAAATGAAAATAATCACATCAAGATATACATTCCAAGATTAAATTTTGTAGAGTTTTGAAGCCGAAAGATAAGCAAATTTGTTTTTAGAATGTTCCAAAACAGTACTGAATTATAATTCGGATTAATGTTATATGACTACGGACTTTAATAACATGATTGAATTTGTGTTATATGGTCGAAGGATAAAATTAAATGATATTTGGCAAATGTATATCGAGATTGATTGTTAACCGAAGGATAGTTGGGTTCATGGAAGCATAGATGCACTTGCAATTATGTGCACAAAGCTAATACCTTAAGACTGCTACTTTATTCGAAAAATATTTGAAGTTCAAAGTACATGTCAAAATTCTTTGGCTCTTATATTTTTATATTTAGCCAGTTATAATCAATGAGTGGCGATAACAATAAAATCTAAAATGATTAGCTTCTTGATATTGTATCAAATCACATAAGATAGCATTAAAACTACAAAAGTATGTTCAGCTCCCCAGCGGCACACCTGATTACAGTCGAGCTCGTGTTGGTTATCGATAGAAGATATATTCTAATAGAAACGATACATTAGATACAGAATTTGGTATATTTCTTTTCGAGGAGGAGGATTGTGGGAAAAATGTTTTAGCCTCTCAAGATTCTTGTAGGAAAAGTTAATAATACTACAATTGAGTAGTTTGACTATTTGGTCCAAAGAAACAAGGATTGATATTGTGAGTTGTTCATTCATTGACCAATATGTTGTTTCAAAGAGTTAATGGAGGGTCAAAAAAAGTCTGTGAGTGTAGTTTTGGAAACTGCATACCTTGGTTTTTTTTTCAAGACAATGTTCCAGCATTCACTGCTCGTAATAGCCATTTGTCAATATCATTATCTGAATATATTTGCGCTAAAAAAATAGGAGACCCTCCATTGTTTCTACAATTTAGATTAACAACCTATTATTTTAACAAGGACACGTTGCTCACTAAACCTGAAATAACTGAAAATAACTATTTTTCGTAAATAAAGGGTTGGAAACCGAATCTCTGAGGGCTCTCCCAAAGATATTCAAGATTGTGACCCGAATCGCGACGGCCTTTTAAATGAAAACGAATTTAAATAGTCACCTTCATAAATGTTCGCTTACGAATACGAAGATGCTCCTCAGCTTCGAGTTACTACCAGTTTCATTCGGTGACATTTCTTTTTTTTGTTAAGTTTTGTCCCGGAATTCCAGTCAAAGTATGAAAACACGGTGCTATCATTATAGGGGTTTCGACAGTGTCTTTCTTTAGATGGACTTAATAGGCTTTATCTATAGCTTCTCAGTTAATTTTTACTCTGACTCTGATCGATCTGATTTCGTTCGACCTAAAAGCAGACTTTCTTTTATTTATTTTTGGGGAGAAGTTTTGTCAATGATTCCTAGCCAAAGAAAAGAATCATCGGGGCCGACACCTTAAGGGGTTTGCGGGTGACTTCTTTGAGGTGGTCCTAATAAACTTTTGCCCATACCATTTGTAAAGTGTACCTTTTCGAGCCCTTAGCTTTATGGCCTGAGTCCGATCCCTTGATTTTCGGTTACAAAAACGGTTACCCTCGACCTAAAATCAGAGACTATATTTTTCAGGGAGCAATTTTGTCAATGACACCCTGCCAAAGATTTTTGCTGATCGGTGCTTGAAGGTACGTTTTGTTGTTGATTCGATTCCCAGGCAAGATTTTGACATTATCTTTCCTGAGAAGATTTTATTAACCTGATCCTTTGATCCTATAGCTTTTAAGTTAATGTTACCGCCTTGTTGTCCGAACTGCTTGCGGAATTTCACTTATTTTTCTAAGTTCAAGTGATTCCGGACAGTATCATTTTGGGTTGAAGGAAGTCATGAGTTTGATAAGAGTTTGTTATGACTAGGAAGTATTCTATATCGCAAGTTGATCATGCCTTCAACGTGGCTCCTAGGAAGTGGCCAAAGAAATCGTTAAAATATCGAACTTTTTCGATGCTGTAGATATAGAATTCTCTTCCATATCATGCTCTCTCAATGACTTGGAAGCAAATCTGATCTTGTTAAACAATTAAGAACAGCATTTCGCTTTAATTATTCTTTGTGAGTTGCTTCATCGGAAACGGAGAAAGTAATACTTCGTTCTGAACTATTTCATTTTTATTTTGTTGTTTAAAGTTTGCTGGCCATTAAACTATTTTCCCCAAATGTTTCCTTAAAGTATTTTACTGCTCTTTATTTCACACTTGGATTTCAACATTTTAATAGGTGTCTTGACACTTTAATGTGTTTGTTAGTGAGTAGCAGTAGTAAACATTACAAACTGAACTTTGCTCCCGCCTGAGAAGATTATATGTAAAAGTCAAATTTCTTCTTGAAACTGGCTTTCCAGTAGCTATTCACTCACTAAAAGAAAATGATTTTGAAATGAATTTGGTTACTTATAAAATTTAGAAACTTTACATAGAACACACCCACCAACCAACAAACCAATCAAATGTTTATGGCTAACGAGAAAATTCCATGCCTCCTATGGATATTACTCTAGACTCTGTCGTCATAACTTACCAGTTTAACGTTTAATCTTTGTTGCAATTGAGAGTCGTAATCAAAATCTTCTTTGTTCTATGTTTAGAATATGTTGTTTTTGCGATAATATTTCGTTTTAGATGTTATTTTTTTAATTGTTTGCTGGTGATTTTGCAACTTTGATCAACTTGGAATAAACGACGTTGTCCACGAAATAGATAACAGTCAACCCACCAACCAAGAGTGTGTGCAACTGAGTCAAAGTACAACGAAAACGAATAGAATAACATGGAACATGATAATTTGACATTTCATTTTGACTTGAATTTTTGTTATCGCTAGTTATCGTTGGAGAATGTTATTGTATGTTATCGATATGAGTGCCTTGTTTGGGTTTTTGTCCAAGACTTTAGAATTCTTCGATAACTAGAAAATAATGTCGGTTACATGTTTTCAATAGATGGCGCCATTTTGTTATGTTATTAATATTTACTTTACGGTTTAAAAAAAAATAACAATAATTTTGTTTAATTAAATAATGAAAGAGGCAAGGGAATTTCTTCTGTTTTTTACTAAAATTTATTAGATAATATAAAAAACCCAAATATATACTTTGTATTAATCAAATTAAAGTTGTATAACACTGTGGGACAAAATTCATTTATTTTAAATAATTACAGAGAAATACCAGCAGATTATTAAATTAGAGCTAAAAATAGATTACACATGTATTAGCATTTTTAAAGTTTACATGGAAAAGTGATCAAAATAGATGGGGCAAGTTTCTCCCTCTTCTATATTTTTATAGTCCTCACCTTGAAAAGGAGGATATATTAACTTTGTCATTCCGTTTGTAACATCCCTAAATATTCGTCGTAGACCACATAAAGTATATATATTCATGATCAGCATAAAATTCTAAGTCGATTTAATGATGTCCGTCTGTCTGTTGAAATCACGATATAGCCTACATTATTTGACGTGGAGTTTCAAAAACTGTGTCTAGGATGTCTAGGACGTTTTGGTATAGCCGCCATATAACGGTACCTCCCGATATTCGGTATTTTGATGATTTTTGCCACACTTTTCCACGGATTTGTCTTGTAGGTCATAATGGATTCTAGCTCCGATGGGGAAAAATTATATGTACATGGTGAGACGAAAAAACTGCAACAAACTTCAGACGGCTATCATTTCTAAGCCACTCGTCCGACAGCTGTTAAAATTATTCCATTGACAGTTCATTATATTGTTTACAAGCGTACAAAAGCCTTTGGTGAGAATTTTCCAAAGAAAAAAGAGTTATTCACGATGGAATTCAAGCGTGATAGTGTGATTTCTTTACATTTGGCTGGAAACCCACAAGTGGCTATCGTTAGAGCACTAAAGCATTTAAATGTGAATAAATCTTTTGTGTCTCGTACCATTGCTCGTTACCGTGATACTGGTAGCGTAGCCCTACGTCAAGGAAGTGGACGTCCGCTTGGCCGAAAGTTGTGAACTGCCGAATTTGGTTTTCTCCGATGAGAAAACATTCGTTGTCCAGCAGTTTGTAAACAAACAAAATGGTCTTGTTTACTTGCCAAATAGGTGAGCTGAAAATGTGCAACTTCGGTTGGCCACCAGAACTCAAGCATCGGCCATGGTGATGGTGTGGGCCGCCATAACAGCCGATGGTCGCTCTTCGCTCGTAATAATCGAATCAGAATAAATACCGAATATTATCGCGAAAATATTGTGGAGGGTGTATTAAAGCCTTGAGCACGCAAACATTTTGGCCGCAGACCTTGGACATTCAAACAGGACTCAGCCCCATTGCAATCAGCACGCGCCCCCCAAGAATGGTTATAAAATGAGGTTCCTGCGCACAATGGTCACCAAAATTTCCGGATGCCAATCCCTTGGACTATTGTGTCTGGAGTATGTTGGAAATCATGGTTGGCACTAAAAATACCAAAGTGTCGATCACCTCAAGCAAGCGGTTCGCCGGGAATGGGCCAAAATACCGCAGAGCAACATTTGGGCAGCGTGTGGCGGTTTCATTGACCGTTTGAAGGCAATAATTCGTGCCAATGGTGACCAATTCGAACAAATATAAACTTATTCTAAAATTTGATGCTATTTTCGACATTTTTGCCTTTCATTCAATAAAATTTCAAAAAAAAAAAAAAAAAAATTGTAAAAATTATGGCGTTTGACTTTGTTGCAGTTTTTATATCTCACCCAGATATAGATATATAATTTATACAGAGCTTTGCATTACTTTGAGGTTTATTGGTTTATAAAATTGGTCATATCAGTCCATGTTTTCCTATATAGTCCCTATATATAGGGGAGAAACTCGATGGCAAATATTTTTTACGTTTTTGGACACATTTTCTGTCTAACTTCGTCAAACTTTGATATTTCATATAAGTTCTTATTATGTTGAAACGCTACTAGAAAAATGGGGGCTTTTCCAAAATTACACTCACTCGGGGTAGATATGTCGGAAAATTTTCTATCCCCGAAGAAACCAAAATACAATTTTTTAGGTAAATCAATTCTGTTTTTTAGATCTACTTTCATAATCAGCCGGATTTTTCCGTAATTATTTTTTTTTTTGTTGCACAGTGTAATGGAAATTCTGGGGTGTATTATAATTGGAACAACTTTTGTTCCTTTTCTCTCATTTCAATTGTAGTTTGGAACTAATGCCATCATAATTCTATGATTGTTTTTGTTGTTAATACGGTTTTACATATTTTCAAGTATTAAAACAATAAAATTCTCCGAAAAAATCGAAACCAAGATCCAATTTATGTATTTAATATTGTAATTTAATCCTTGGCCCCTTATATAGTTTTAATCTAATTTAACCTCACTTTCCATTTATTTTGTCTTCCTTTTTAGACTATGGGACGTCCGCAATCAAAACAGTTGCATGAAAATCTATCGTGGTCATATTTCACATGTTAATTCGGTGAAATTTTCTCCAGATGGCCTGTGGATAGCATCAGCTGGTACGGAGGGTTCCGTCATCATATGGGACATTAGGAAGAGTAAACAAATTATGGAATTATGTGATAAACCGCCTGGTGCTGCAATCACATGTATACAATTTCATCCATTTGAGTTTTTATTGGCTGTGGGTCGTGTTGATGGCACGGTTAGTATCTATGATCTGGAGACACAGTTGTGTGTTACCCGGACAGATGCTACCAGCTTGTTTTATGGTCATCCAATTAAGTGTATTACATTTAGGTGAGTTAAAAAATTGAATAAATTTTTAAAATTAAAATTAATTTCGTTTCCCTCCCTCTTTAGTGATAATGGTGAATGTTTGTTTGTGGGTACGGCAGCAGCTATATCGATTATTGGCTGGGAGCCGGATCGCGAATTTGATCACATACAAGCCGCCTGGACGGCTTTGGGTGATATGAAAATTGTCAACCGAAGATTGGTAAGTTGGTTTTGAAATAACAAATTTGATATATTCTACTAACGCCTAATCTCTCGCCTTTTTAGATTTGCGGATCCTATGACCAGGAATATGTCAGCATAGATGCCCTCAGTGTCAATCGAGTATTTCCATTCTATAATCCATCCAATAATACAGCGCCTGCCTTTAGTCATAACTCAACAACGCGTAAAAGTTTCTCGCGTGGCAATCAAAAGTTACGCCTTTCCATTGGTGGACCCAAACAATCGCGTTTGGTGGAGGAGAACGAAGACAATCGTAGTCCTAGTTTAGATGGTCACTCTTCACCCAATCTCAGTCTAGAGTTGGTGGATGAAAATCCTCTCGATAGCGCCCTACATCCGCCCATGCTACCCAATCCGAATACACATCCTCTAAACAATGGTCATGGCAATTTATCGGTGAATAGCAATTTTACAGATTTTGAACATAGTTTCACCACACAATTGGGTGGTAGCACCAGTGTTAGCATAAATGTACCCTTGAAAAAGTTAACATCTTCGCCGTATCACTACCCGTCCATTGCCTCCAGTACAACGTACAGCAGTTTGGGTGTCTTGAACTATGACGGCGGTCCATCATCGCTGAAAATGCCAGGAGAACGTGGAGATTACTATAGTAAATATGATAATTTCACAGATCCTTTCAATCAGGACAGCGAAATCAATTTCAATGAAAGTTTCCCGCCCGTCATCAACAATTATGATAATACCGAAATGGTTGAAGATTTTCCCATAATTCAGGGCTCAACAATACCACCTGCAGCGCCAACAAATAATTCATCATCCTCGTCCTCATCGTCATCATCTGCAGCGGCCTCAAATGGTGCAACCAATGCAGCCAGCAGCAATTCGGTGAGTTCCACAACAAATTCAACAACACACTTTGTTCATCCACCGCCGAAAACGGCCAAACCGACAACAAAAACAACATCACACATTACAAAACGTACAGCACAAGTGTCGAGTGGTGGCGGCCTGAAAACCAGTGCATCGTCGACATTTCAACAACGCAACAAACTGTCGCAAGTGTCCTCGGTTAGCACCACAGAACTGCACAAAATGGATGATAATATGCTTATCAAGAAATCCGCATCATCACACATTGTTGTAAATAAGAACAAGGCACATGTGAATAAAGAGAATGCACGCAATAAAAATATCACAGTGCAAATAATAACAAAGCCACCGACACGTTCACGTACATCGCTGGAGTTGAGATCACCGCAGAAACAGAATCAATCGGCTGGGGGTCCAGCACAACGGCAAACGCAAGTAAGTTTTTGAGGTTTCTCTTTATCGTTTTTTTGTGAATGGTGGGTTATGGAGGGGGAACGGGTATGAATCATGAATGTTTTCTTATGTTGTGTAAAGAATGGCATTTGAGTGGAATGTAATGCGAAATGGTTTTGAAATTTGTATTGTAAGCTGTTAAAGATTTCATGGAGCATCTTCATTTGTATATATTTTCCATTATTTGATGTTTGTGATGTCGAAAGAATTTTCATATCAGAAATAGACCTATACAGGTTCAATTCGAATCGTGTTTTTAAAGATGTAAATATTTCAGTTGATCATTGAAACAGTTCAGCAGTGGAATTCTCCAACTTTTTGCCGTTATAGACAACAAACCTGTAACTTACAAACGTAAAATGGAACCAGTAAGGAAAAGTCAAAATTCGGGCGGGGCCTACCCTACACCACTATGCAAATTTAGTAGAGCTGCCGTAGCAAAAGAATTTATTTGAAGTAGATCACCATCTATCAACATTTGGCTTCAGAGCAGTTATAGTTTGGTTTCAGAGGGAACTTATATAAACGAGGCATATCCAATTCTGAATCGATTTTCAGTAAATTCGACGGATACATTTTAATCTTTTATACCGAATAAGATTGCTATAGAGTGCTTGATATCACTTTGAGAAGGATTATGTTATAAAAATATATATCGGAGTCGAGTTCCATAAAATGGAAACGTACGTTCCGAAATTCACTCCATTTGGACTGATATTAGCCTTTATTTGCACAACACACCTGAAATCGGATTAAGGATATATATGGAAGCTATCTCCAAATCTTAGGCGTTCTCGCTAAAATTTGGCCAAGCTCCATAAGATATCTGGTACCAACTAGTATTGTTGTGGAATGAATGTTACGCGTGTGAGGGACTATAAACCCCAAATCAGATAAAACATATAAATTGGAGCTAAAGCTATATCAGAACCGATTTACGCCAAATTCGAAGTCCTGCTTTCAAGGATGAATTCAGTCGTAATTGCCAAAATTCAGTCCATTTGGAATGATATTACCCATTTGGTGCACAATGAGCTTGATATCGAATAAAGATATATATGGGATCTATATCCTAATCTGAACCGATCTCGATAGAAATTTGACAGAGGTATTTTCGAGCAATATCTGATGTCCGGTACCAAATATCATTCTTTTGGAGTGCATATTACGCATGCGAGGGACTTAAAACACCAAATCGGATGAAACATATATATGGGAGCTATAGCTATATTTGAACCTCCAAATTGGATGCACTTTCTTCTAGACTTAATTCGGCGGGATATACCAAAATTCAGGTCACTAGGACTTATATTGGCCATTTAGTGCACAATTAAACCGAAATGGGTTAAAGATACAGGGTGAGATAAAAAAACTACGACAAAGTCAAACGCCTTAATTTTTACATATTTTTTTAAATTTTATTAAATGAAAGCAAAAAAATGTCGGAAATAGCATCAAATTTTAGAATAAGTTTAGATTTGTTCGAATTGGTCACCTTTGGCACGAATTATGGCCTTTAAACAGCCAATGAAACCGCCACACGCTGCCCGAATGTGGCTTTGCGGTACTTTGGCCCATTCCCGCGAAGCGCTTACTTGAGCTTAACAATCGACACTTTGGTATTTTTTCGTGCCAACCTTGCTTTCCAAAATACTCCAGACACAATAGTCCAAAGGATTGGTATCGGGAGATTTTGGTGGCCATTGTGTGCTGGAAATGAAGCGAGGAACGTCAGTTTGTAAACATATTTGGGTGGCGCGTGCTGAGTGCGATGGTGCTGAGTCCTGTTGGAATGTCCAAGGTGTGCGACCAAAATGTTTGCGTGTCCAAGGCTTTAATACACCCTCCAGAATATTTTCGCCATAATGTTCGGCTTTTATTCTGACGCCACAGTCGATCAATACGAGCGGAGAGCGACCATCGGCTGTTAAGGCGGCCCCATCACCATGCCCGGCGCTTGAGTTCTGGTGGTCAACTGAAGGTGTAAATTTTCAGGTGACCTCTTTGGCAAGTAAACACGATCATTTTGTTTGTTTACAAACTGCTGGACAACGAATGTTTTCTCATCGGAGAAAACCAAATTCGGCAGTTCACCACTTTCGGCCAAGCGAGGCAACTGATTCTATTTTCTTTCTGCTGCGGTTCTTGCACTTTTTGGAATTTTAATGGCTCATTTTTTAATATTTGCCGAATGGAATATAGCGATATGTTCAGCTCACGAACCATTTGTTGGCCACGGCGACGGGGGTTTCAAACAAGTCGTTTCTTTACTTTTCGAACCATTTCTGCTGATGTTGCTGTTTTCTTCCGTCCACATCCTTAACGTCGGGCTACGCTACCAGTATCACGGTAACGAGCCATGGTACGAGACACAAAAGATTTATTTACATATAAATGCTGGAGTGCTCTTACGATAGCCGCTTTTGGTTTTCCAGCCAAATATAAAGAAATCACACTATCACGCTTGAATTCCAACACGAATTACTTTTTTTTTTTTTTTGGAAAATTCTCACCAAAATGATTTTGTACGCTTATAAATAATATAATGAGCTATCACTGGAATAATTTTAACAGCTGTCAGACGAGTCGTTTAGAAATGACAGCAGTCCGAAGTTGGTTGCAGTTTTTTCATCTCACCATGTATATGGGAGCTATATCTAAATGTGATCCGATTATAAATAATTAAGTTCAATAGGGTTCGTCCTTGGGCCAAACAAATATTTTTTTTTTTCAAAATTTCATTTCAATCGGATAATAAATGCGACCTGCATTTTGTTCACAAGAATACATGGACAGACGGACTGACATGCCTAAATCGACTAAGAAAGTGATTCTATGAAGATTCTCAAAAGAGTCAAATGCACAAACACATAATACCCTTACCACTATTTGGTGTAGGGTATAAAAACAACTAAAATTTGAAAAAAATTTTAGGTCTTAAAAGCTACTTTGATTTTGCCGCTAACATACCGACAGCATTTTGTTTATTTCCGAATAGATAGAGAATCCCACTACAGATCAAGGTGTCCATTCCGTATTTCATCCAAAACATATTATTTCCATTTTCCTTAAATCATTTATATTAAAAATTATTTCATTACATTCCACCCAGAGAGGGAAAGTTTGCAAATTTGCATTTTTGAATTGAGTTGCAGACTTTATCTTGCCATTCATTTGCTCTTTATGTGTGGTGCCATAAAATACTTGGTCTGTTTCAGAACTGCAAGAATGGAAAAGTTTTTACTACGATAACCGATTTTCCCTTTATGATATCGTAAAAAATTGCAAAACCAATAAATTCTTGTAGGTTCTGGAACAGAGCAACTATAATCTCCATTTAAATCGTAACAAATGGTGTTTGGTATTTTTTGTTATGGGAGTTCTAAAAAAATAAATATAGATATGGGTTGATGGTATATGTGTGTATTTGCTAAATATTATATTTTTTTTCTTTTGCTTTTCTCTTTTTTTTTTCTTTACATATCTTACAGCGCATTTCTAGTTACACCATGGATAGTACTAGTAATGGCTCGGCAAATGTGTGTACCTTTTTGTATATCCCTGTATTTGTTAATACGATTTGTATAATGTCATTTAATGTGTTTGATATCCCTAAGCATATGAAGCCATGATCAAGGACCCTCCTTTTTTGAATAGCTATTTGTGTTAATTGTAGTGCATGCTTTTTGTTGTTGTTGTTTTGTGTTGTAGTTGGCTATTCAATTTGGTGGGATTTTTGATTCACGGCTGTGTTACTTATTTTAACCATATTTGTCTTACGTATGCATTGGCCTTAATTTACAGATTCCCATTAGTTATCGACCCGATCCATCATTGATGAGCCACACGGGTTTCGGTAGTCAAAAAAGCTTTAATAATCGCATGGACGATGTACCAGAAATTGAAATGCTCTCAGCAACACATGAACAAGTCTATCAGGAGCTAAGCAATCGCAATGCCACATTACAAATCATCAGAAACTCAACAAGGTAAGATGCAAAGCGAAGAAGAGAGAAGCAGAATTTTAAAACTGATTTTTTTCTATTTTTAGATCTCACGATGTTCTTTCCGCCCTCAGACAGGCCATTAAAATGGGCCGAACTATTTTTGTAGATCTACTAGGAGCTATATTGGAAAAAACGTAAGCAATACTCGGGCTGAGAACCCAATTTTTATGATTTTTTTCCAAGACTTTATTTAATAAATATTTTCTTTAAATTTTAATTCCAGCTCATCATGGAATTTAGATTTGTGTATTTTATTATTACCGGAAATCTATGAACTCCTGCAAAGTCAACATAAATTGTAAGTATTGAGAACAGTTTAAATTTGATTAGCGTACTTTTTATGGTGGAAAGGGTTCGTTGGTGAAACTTTTTCAATAGAAAAACGTTCATTGGTGATTTCTTTCCATAGAAATAAGTTCGTTGGTGAACTTTTTCTATAGAAAACTGGTCATTGCTGAACTTTTTCTATATAGAAAAACTTTCGTTGGTGAACGTTTTCTATATAGAAAAACTTTCGTTGGTGAACGTTTTCTATATAGAAAAACTTTCGTTGGTGAACGTTTTCTATATAGAAAAACTTTCGTTGGTGAACGTTTTCTATATAGAAAAACTTTCGTTGGTGAACTTTTTCTATATAGAAAAACTTTCGTTGGTGAACTTTCCGTATAGAAAAACTTTCGTTGGTGAACTTTTTCTACATAGAAAAACTTTCGTTGGTGAACTTTTTCCGTATAGAAAAACTTTCATTGGTGAATTTTTTCCGTATAGAAAAACTTTCATTGTGGAACTTTTTTTTGTATAGAAAAATGTTCATTGGTGAACTTTATTTGTATAGAAAAATGTTCATTGGTGAACTTTTTTTGTACAGAAAAATGTTCATTGGTGAACATTTTTTGTATAGAAAAATGTATAGAAAAATGTTCATTGGTAAACTTTTTCAAAGGGAAACTTTCATAAGTGAACTTTTTCCAAAGGAAAATGTTCATTGATGAAGTTTTTCTAAAGGAAATTTTCATTGGTGAACTTTTTCCAAAAGGCAATTTTCATTGGTAAACATTTTCCAAAGGGAAATTTTTATTGGTAAACTTTTTCCAAGAGAAAAATAGCAAAACCGGTCATTTTTGAACTGTACACTGGTGAACTTTTTTTTTGTATAGAAAAATTTTCATTGGTGAACTTTATTTGTATAGAAAAATGTTCATTGGTGAACTTTTTTTGTATAGAAAAATGTTCATTGGTGAACATGTTTTGTATAGAAAAATGTTCATTGGTGAACATTTTTTGTATAGAACAATGTTCATTGGTGAACATTTTTTGTATAGAAAAATGTTTTTTCATTGGTGAACTTTTTCCAAAAGACAATTTTCATTGGTGAACATTTTTTGTATAGAAAAATGTTCATTGGTGAACATTTTTTGTATAGAAAAATAGAAAAATGTATAGAAAAATGTTCATTGGTAAACTTTTTCAAAGGGAAACTTTCATAAGTGAACTTTTTCCAAAGGAAAATGTTCATTGATGAACTTTTTCTAAAGGAAATTTTCATTGGTGAACTTTTTCCAAAAGGCAATTTTCATTGGTAAACATTTTCCAAAGGGAAATTTTTATTGGTAAACTTTTTCCAAGAGAAAAATAGCAAAACCGGTCATTTTTGAACTGTACACTGGTGAACTTTTTTTTTGTATAGAAAAATGTTCATTGGTGAACTTTTTTTGTATAGAAAAATGTTCATTGGTGAACTTTTTTTGTATAGAAAAATGTTCATTGGTGAACTTTTTTTGTATAGAAAAATGTTCATTGGTAAACTTTTTCAAAGGGAAACTTTCATAAGTGAACTTTTTCCAAAGGAAAATGTTCATTGATGAACTTTTTCTAAAGGAAATTTTCATTGGTGAACTTTTTCCAAAAGGCAATTTTCATTGGTAAACTTTTTCCAAAGGGAAATTTTTATTGGTAAACTTTTTCCAAGAGAAAAATAGCAAAACCGGTCATTTTTGAACTGTACACTGGTGAACTTTTTTTTTGTATAGAAAAATGTTCATTGGTGAACTTTTTCAAAGGAAAACTTTCATTGGTGAACTTTTTCCAAAGGAAAATGTTCATTGATGAACTTTTTCTAAAGGAATTTTTCATTGGTGAACTTTTTCCAAAAGACAATTTTCATTGGTGAACTTTTTTCAAAGAAAATTTTTCATTGGTGAACTTTTTTCAAAGGTGAAATTTTTATTGGTAAACTTTTTCCAAGGGAAAAATAGCAAAACGGTTATTGGAGAACTTTTTCTATAGAAAACCAGTCATTTTCGAACTGGTGAACTTTTTCTGTTTAGGAAAATGTTCAACTTATTCTGTTATAAAAAATGTTCAATGGTGAACTTATTCCAAAGGAAAATTTTCACTGGTAAACTTTTTCCATAGAAAAAAGTTCGTCGATGACATTTTTCTGCATAAAAGAAATTTAAAACAAATTTTTAAAATAAAAGGAAAAAGTTTTGATTTTATTTTTGGGGATTATTTGTTAATGCATTTTATGTTTTTCTTTGTTCTGTATTTTTCAGTCACTACACACGGGCTTGTGATACACTACGTGTTATATTATCAAATTTCTTGCCAATTATTCAGGATAACCTAGATCCATGGGTCAATGGTCTGGGTGTGGATGTCAGTCGAGAGGAGCGCCATCGAAAATGTTTGGAATGTCAGCGATGGCTATTGCAAATACGCAATCTGCCCGAAACGAATCATTTTGGCAGCACACTAACACAGCTACAGAATATGATTGTTAATATTTAAAAGAAAGGAACAAACGGCGGTCATCGTCGTTCCTAGTGGACAGACACAATGCACAGCACAGAAACGCAAAGAAAATGCCTCCAAAACAAACAAACACTAACGCATATGTATTTTTTTGTTTAAATGATCATATCTTATGTTATATGTATTTCGTATTATCATTATCATTTTCCTTAATTTATTAGATTAAATTTGTAGTTATTAACTCTGTAACCCTTCCACGTCCCCTCAAAACTGTTTGGCTTTAAAATATGTTTCTTTATGGTCAATATTTATTATTTTTTATATATTTTAGTATTATATATATTTTTTGTTAATTTATTATTATTCAAATGTCCATTACTCAATATATACAAATTCAACAAACACAAACACCTTTATCATTTCAAGTCAAGTTCTCAACACATAATCTAAATTTTTTTCCACATCAAATTGAGTAGCTGCAGGCAGCCAAAATTTTCTGTTTTGCTGTGCTTTACTTTTCTATACAGTTTACCCTTTATTTACACACTTTTCTTATTTTCACAACTGAACTTCACACGCATATTTGAAAATGTTTTATGAATCATCATATAAAACAAACATTTTTTTCTTAAACTAGCAACAATAATAGTCGTTTGTAAATGCCTATTAACTGAACAGATTTAGTTAGCACCAAACCAACTAATTACCTACTTGTAGATTTTGTTTTTATTTCTTAGTTTTATTTAATTTAGTTTAACAAAATAATAGATTTAAAATCAGTTTTTAGTTTTATGTTTTAATGTCCAATTATTTAAGTGAATTTTAATGTCGCTATGTATTAATATCCTAAATTAATAAACCACACTACTGTATCGGATACTAACATAAGTTGAATATTAATGTAATTGATTTTTTTTAAGCATTATGTACTATATTTGTATTTGAGATTTAATATTTGTAATACTTGGAAATTAGATCTTATCTTATATCCGTCAATATATTTTAATGAATATTAACAAAATTTTGTGTAGTTTTCTGTTTTCTATCTGTTGGTTATTTGCAAACCCTCCAAAAACCTTCGATGTCAATTATCAGCAACGAAAATTATATTTTTCTATACGAAAATGTTCATTATTTAAACTTTTTTTAAAGAAAAATTTCAACAATGTAAATTTTTCTAAAGAAAAATGTCACCAATGAACATATTTCTATACAGAAAAAGTTCAGTATTGAACATTTTTCTATACGGAAAAAGTTCAGCAGTGAACATTTTTTTCAATACGGAAAAAAGTTCAGCAGTGAACATTTTTTCAATACGGAAAAAAGTTCAGCAGTGAACATTTCTTCTATACGAAAAAAGTTCAGCAGTGAACATCATTTTTCTATACGGAAAAAAGTTCAGCAGTGAACATTTTTTCTATACGGAAAAAAGGTCAGCAGTGAACATCATTTTGCTATACGGAAAAAAGTTCAGCAGTGAACATCATTTTTTCTATACGGAAAAAAGTTCACCAATGAACTATTTTCTATAGAAAAAGTTCACCAATGAACTATTTTCTATAGAAAAAGTTCACCAATGAACTATTTTCTATAGAAAAAGTTCACCAATGAACTGTTTTCTATAGAAAAAGTTCACCAATGAACTATTTTCTATAGAAAAAGTTCACCAATGAACTATTTTCTATAGAAAAAGTTCACCAATGAACTATTTTCTATAGAAAAAGTTCACCAATGAACTATTTTCTATAGGAAAAGTTCACCAATGAACTATTTTCTATAGAAAAAGTTCACCAATGAACTATTTTCTATAGAAAAAGTTCACCAATGAACTATTTTCTATAGAAAAAGTTCACCAATGAACTATTTTCTATAGAAAAAGTTCACCAACGAACTATTTTCTATAGAAAAAGTTCACCAACGAACTATTTTCTATAGAAAAAGTTCACCAACGAACTATTTCCTATAGAAAAAGTTCACCAACGAACTATTTCCTATAGAAAAAGTTCACCAACGAACTATTTCCTGTAGAAAAAGTTCACCAACGAACTATTTCCTATAGAAAAAGTTCACCAACGAACTATTTTCTATAGAAAAAGTTCACCAACGAACTATTTCCTATAGAAAAAGTTCACCAACGAACTATTTTCTATAGAAAAAGTTCACCAACGAACTATTTCCTATAGAAAAAGTTCACCAACGAACTATTTTCTATAGAAAAAGTTCACCAACGAACTATTTTCTATAGAAAAGGTTCACCAACGAACTATTTTCTATAGAAAAAGTTCACCAACGAACTATTTTCTATAGAAAAAGTTCACCAACGAACTATTTTCTATAGAAAAAGTTCACCAATGAAATATTTTCTTTAAAAAAATTCATCAATGAACTATTTTCTATAGAAAAATTTCACCAATGATCATTTTCCTTTAGAAAAAGTTCACCAATGATCATTTTCCTTTAGAAAAAGTTCACCAATGAACATTTTACTATAGAAAAAGTTCACCAATGATCATTTTCCTTTAGAAAAAGTTCACCAATGAACATTTTACTATAGAAAAAGTTCACCAATGAACATTTTCCTATAGAAAAAGTTCACCAATGAACATTTTCCTATAGAAAAAGTTCACCAATAAACATTTTCCTATAGAAAAAGTTCACCAATGAACATTTTCTTATAGAAAAAGTTCACCAATGAACATTTTCCTATAGAAAAAGTTCACCAATAAACATTTTCCTATAGAAAAAGTTAACCAATGAACATTTTCCTATAGAAAAAGTTCACCAATGAGCATTTTCCGATAGAAAAGTTCACCAATGAAAATTTTCCTATAGAAAAATTTCACCAATGAATATTTTTCTATAGAAAAAACTCACCAATGAACATTTTCCTACAGAAAAAGTTCACCAATGACAGTTTTTCTATAGAAAAAGTTCACCAATGAAATGATTTCGGTTATTTAAACCCCATTTCAATTTTTTTCCATATCTCCCCTCTAAAAAATAATATTCAACTGCCAAATAAATTAATTATTATTCATAAACATACTAATAATTTAACAAAATGCCAAACTGATCTTCCATTATGAAAGTTATGAGGAAAACTAAAGGAAAAAGTGAAACGAAATATTTTATATGCTACAAAACGAAATTTTTATTTATCATTCCCCACATCATCATCATCCCCACACACATACATGTAGTAAACAAAATGAAATGCCCTCCAAACTTTTATTTTGTGAATTCAAAATGAGCAATAATTTTTTTTTCGTATATTAAAAAATTTTGCAAAATGTGCCTTTTACAAAGAAATATACAAAAAAATGCTATTTTTAATTTTCAGTTGTATTTTTTTAAATTTTTGTTTTTTAAATTGTCATAGAAACAAAAAGAAAAAAGGAATTGTAGTTATTTTAAGGAGAAAAAGGTGATAGAAAGAGAAAAATAATAAAAAATAAAACAAATAACAAAACAATAGACTGTAGTAATGGAAACGATTTTATCCGGAAAAGAAAAAATTTCTAAATTGTTGTTACAAAACGGAAACGAAAGACAATGAAATTGCAAGAATATTGGTTGTAATGATTTTAATGATGAATGGAAATTTAGCAATTAGCAAGGAACGAAAACGAAATGCCCTGTCAACTTGTAACTCAACTGTTTGTAAATATTACAAAACAAATTACAATATTTTTAATAATCTGCATACTTATATAAGCATTAATAATAACCATTTTCACTTATAGCAATTAAGTCTTAAGTCTTAAAAAAATAATAAGAAAACAAATATTTTTGCACTTCAAAGAAAAATGATACATAAATAAATATTATCCATTTATATAAATAGATTTCTGTTCTCTCAAATTGCTACATATCAGATATTAAAATGATCGTAATTACAGAGAAAACATGGTTGAGCTTCAAGTCATTTGTTATATAAATTTTTAATTGGAAACTATTGAAATATATTTTTAATTGGTAAACAGAAAAGTAATTATGATCATTTGAATTCCGCTTCAAAGAAAGTAGAACCACAAAATCATGAAACGAAATTGTTAAATTAAAAACCAAATGTTAAGCAATATTTATTCAATACGAAACAAAAGAACATCGCCTGTATCCAATAATCCTATAATATTAATATATAGACATAATAATTTATATTTACACATATGTGTTTGATAACACTGTTAAACATTGTGCATGGGGTTACAATCACTCGCTAAAATCCTGCAAATTATGAAAGTAGACCTAAAAAATAACACATGTGTAGTGGCATATTGAAATTTGAAAATTACTTCGCAAACTAACCTGAACATAGGAAGCAAGTTTCCACTCTTCCAAATGTTTGGAAATTTTTGGACTAAGATTCCTTGGAATCCGCTGATTTTAGGTATATAGTGTCTATGGCAATATTGTACATAAAAATACGAGGATTACTTTGGTCGAAAATTGTAACACTCGAGCGAGTTAATAATAGGGTCTTTTTTGTACTTTTTTCAAAACATGGTTAAAACTCCCTTTAAACGGGATCGTAGCAAGTCAAAATATTTTACAAAATTATTCGTCATAAGATTCTACTATAGGTCCCAGAAGACATTAAAAGTCTAAATCTTACTTATTATCTAAATCTTACGGATTCGTTTAAATTAAAAACATATATATTAGGGTTAAAGCCGTACTTTATGTGAGTTTAAGCAAAAATCTCCTACAAAGCATCATTTTGGTAGAATGACATTAAATACAAAAATATTCTTCATCAAATTTCACTACAAGTCACCAATGAAAAGAAATCTATATTTCCATTGCGCATCAAGCAAATGTTTGCAGCAAAATTCCCAAAAGACGACAAATTTTCCTAATTTCATTGGTCAATTTGTTATCTTTGACCTTTTTGGCGAGTTGATGCCTGAAAGTAACTTAAAAAATTATTTTCGGCAGAAGTTGTCAATAGAAGTAATATTCTATACAAAATTTCACTATGTATCTCAGAATAAACTATATGTCTAGGTATAATAGTTTTTAAGAAAATTAGAAATAGGTGTACTACAAATGAAAACAATGTGTTTGGCTTCTTTGCTGTAAATACAAAATCTTCCTTTACACTTAATTCTTTGGAGAAAATGTCAAAGGAAGAAATACTCTACACACAAATTCACTATAAATTACAGAGTAAGGTTTAATGGTTTTTAAGAAAAAATCATTCGAAATTTATGTATTTGCTTTTACAACTATTAATTTAACACATTTGCAATCTAAGTCAAAATCATCCTTTATACTTCAGTTCTTTTTTTTTTGGAAAAGTGTCAATTTAAGAATAAAATTTCATTGCCAGTCTCTGAAGAATAGAAATTTTTATATTCAATATGTATCGGTTAACTCCTTCTGGTACCTCCCCCACAAGGGGTCAAAATTTTGAATATCCATGAATTTCGTAAAACGCGAAATGAGCATCCAATTCTTTTGAAATTTTTTAGATCCCAACACTTTTTCTTAGGAGAGATCTGGCGTGAAGGCGGTAAATATCGGACCACTCCTTCTGGTACCTCCCCCACAAAGGGTCAAAATTTTGTATAATTATAACGTTTATAAAATTTTAACTAAGAGTCCGATTTTCTTCAATATTTTTCAATATTTCTACTAACACAAGGCCTGGTATGAAGAACGAATTGAACGGACCATTCCTTCTAGTACCTCCCCCACAAAGGGTCAAAATTTGGAATAACCATTGAGCACGAAAAAAGCGAAATGAGCATCTGACTACTTTCAAATTCGGTACATCCAATACACCCACAACGGGTCAAATTTGTAACTAATTATAACTTTCATTAAACGCGGTCTTTATATAGTTTTGACCATATACAAGGGGACTTCTATAGTGTAAGAAATATTCCGCAACAATAAGTATAGAGCTTTCAAAATTTTCGGAGACTTTTGTTTACACCCAGAATCATTGTCACAGAAAATGAGTCACATTAGTCCAATTTGTGCAATAGCTATCATATGAGAATGACTTCTAACCGATTTCATGTTAATTGAGCACCAAATATATTAACATATAGCCCGAAAAGAAAAAGCCTAGAAACAAGTATGTCAAATTTGGTGAAAATCAGCTTAGATATAGCTATAGCTCCCATATATATTGTTCATCCGATTTGTTATATTTGTTCACCACAGCCGTAATATGCACTCTTTAACAACGATATCAGCCAAAAAGTATGCTTTAATTTTTTACTAATTTAATATATTATACGACGGCAGGATACGAGTGCAGCCTTTATGAGGTGTCACAAAATATACCATGCGAAGAATTCAAGCTACTTATGTATTCTCACTTTTGAAACTGAAATCTATTTTTTGTAATTATTTAAAAATCGAAAATAGTCTTTTATCTGATAAACAATAGATAGACCAAAAGTTGACCATACTCATTTAGTAAACCTGTGTTCCATAGAATATTGGAACAATTGGTAGGCGGAATTGTATCTTCGTGTTAATTACAGGTACCTTGTTTGACTTTGTTAACGACCTTTTATCCTTTCTTTTATTGGGTATTCAGGCACCAGGCTAGACAACCGTCCGGTGATAAGAAAAAAAAAAAAACACTGCGATTGGGTCTGGATGTTTTTTCTTTTCACTTACAATTTGTAATTAAAATTCGTTCTCAATGATGTGAGTTATTTTAATGCTGGAAAACAATGTGAATGGACCCCATTGATATAAAATTTGTTACACAGTGTTATCTCTATACTCAAAGTTATTTATAACTCTCATCGTTAATCCTCTCATTAACTATAATTACATTGTAATTAAAAACATTTTTTTTAACATCTTAAAATCCAAGGAAAAGCAATTAGTCATAATCATAACTTCACTTAAACAATGAAATACACAAACTCACAAAACACACCACATTATATATATTATCAATCATTATTATGTATTACAACAAAATAAATATGTATTTACGCATTTTAATTAAATACCATTACAAATATTATTACAAGAAAAATGTTAAAAACCAACCAATCACCTAACTATCCACCTTTCTTCTATACGATTTCATCTCTTAACAAATTATTTTTCTATTTTCATCATCACTATTTTATGCTAACTACTATTACAAAACAAACTAGATTCTTAAAGTACTTAAATCCTTAAAAAAGATAATAAATTATAATTATATTATAAATGCTATTAACTATTTTATTATTAAGTCTTTTTTTAATTGCAATTCGTTTATTTTGTAAATTTATACTACAACACAATAATGGTTACACATACGTATATAGGTATTTGTTTTTTTTAATAGTTTTAGTTGATTTTTAGCTTTACCGCCAACCCATAAACAAATAAATAAACAAAAAATTTAAATTTATTTTTAAGTTAATTTTAATAATAACAATTATGTCCAAATAACAATTAATTTTATATATCGCGTCATAACATTAAAAATTAATGAAGACAAAGGAAAAGAAGAAGAAATTATTTAATAAATAAACAAAACAACATTTGAAAACATTTTAAATTGTGGCATATATTTGGGAATTGTTTAATGTAAAATTCCTGTGGGAGGGGTTGGCTTGGATTGAGAATGCTCGTCCGTTAAAATAGTCATCGGGAAGATTGTCATCATCACAAATTAATTGTCATCATCAGAAATTAATTTTTATACCCTACACCACATAGTGGTAAGGGTATTATGTCTTTGTCCATTTGTTTGTGACATGGAAAAGAAAGCGAGATAGGCCCATAGTTAATTTTGAGGATCTTCATAGAATCACTTTCTGAGTCGATTCATACATGTCAGTCCGTCCGCCCGTCCGTCAGTCCATGCATTCTTGTGAACAAAATGTAGGTCGCATTTATTATCCGATTAAGATTAAATTTTCCAAACAACATTTGTTTGGCCCAAGGGCGAACCCTATTGAAATTCGTAATAATCGGATCAGATTTAGATATAGCTCCCATATATCTTCAACCGATTTCGGGTTAATTGTGCATAAAATGGCTAATATCAGTCCTGAATTTTGGTACATCCGACCAAATTCATTCTAGAAGCAAATTCACCAATTTTGGAGAAAATCGGTTCAGATATAGTTATAGCTCCCATACATCCCATTTGGTGTTTAAGTCCCCCAAATTCGTAATATGCACCCCACAAGAATGAAGTTTGGTATCAGATATCACCTATAGCTTCCATGTATATTTTTCATCCGATTTGGTGTTTAAGTCCCTCACATTCGTAATATGCATTCGACAACAATGATATTTGGTACCAGATATCTTATGGAGCTCTAAAATACCTTTGCCGAATTTTATTGGTTCAGATTCGGATATAGCTACCCTATATATCCTTAATCCGTTTTCAGGTTAATGTGCAAATAATGGCTAATAACAACCCAAATGGACCTAATTTTGACTTTTCCGACGGATTGAAAAGAAAATTGATATATGAAGGTTGTTTTGGAAATATGTAAATGGTACTAAATTTGGAACAGTTTGGTTTATGGTAGACGGATGAAGCTGGAATTTTGAAATTTTGTATTACGGTCCCTGTTAGTAGTGGGTTCGTAATAAAGAGATGGTTTTGGAAATGTGTACTACATGTACACGAAAATTACTAAATTGTGTTAAATGTGTGCTTGAAATTTGAAACATGCATTAGGGTCACTGTTCACGTGTAGCCTGGACATATGTAAATGTGTGCTATATGGAAATGTGTGCTATACTGGACATATGGAAATGTGTGCTATACAGGGTGAGATTAGAAAACTGCAACAAAGTCAAACGCCAAAATTTTTACATTTTTTTTTTTTTAATTTTTGTGAATGAAAGCAAAAAATGTCGAAAATAGCTTCAAATTTTAGAATAAGTTTAGATTTATTCGAATTGGTCACCTTTGGCACGAATTATGGCCTTCAAATCGCCAATGAAACCGTCACACGCTGCCCGAATGTTGCTCTGCTGTATGTTGTCCCATTCCCAGCAAAGCGCTTGATTGAGGTGGTCGACACTGGTATTTTTTAGTGCCAACCTTGTTTTCCAAAATACTCCAGACACAATAGTCCAACTTATTGGTGCGTTGAAAAAGAGGCGAGGAACCGCTGAGTTCTATGGTGCTGAGTCGTGTTGGATTGTCCAAGGACTGCGGGCAAAATGTTTGCGTGCCCAAGGCTTTAATACAACCTCTAGAATATTTTCGGGATAATATTTTGCATTTATTCTGATGCAACGGTCGATAAACACGAGCATCGGCTGTTATGGCGGCTTATACCATCACCATGACCGGCGCTTGAGTTCTGGTGGCCAACCGAAGGTGCACATTTTAGCTGACCTCTTTGGTAAGTAAACACGATAATTTTGTTTGTTTACAAACTGCTGGACAACGAATGTTTTCTCATCGGAGAAAACCTAATTCGGCAGTTCACCACTTTCGGCCAAGCGAAGTAACTCTTTAGCTCTTTTGAGTCTATTTTCTTTCTGTTGCGGTGTAAGTTCTTGCACTTTTTGGAATTTCAACAGCTTTACCCCAAGCTCATATTTCAATATTTGCCGAATGGAATATTGCGATATGTTCAGCTCACGAGATATTTTTCGGCCACTGCGACGCGGGTTTCGATCGATCAAGTCGCTTCTTTACTTTTCCAATGTTGATGTTGCTGTTTCCGTCCACCCCCTTGACGTCGGGCTTCGCTACCAGTATCACAGTAACGAGCGATGGTGCGAGACACAAAAGATTTATTTCACATTTAAATTTTGGAGTGCTCTAACGATAGCCACTTGTGGTTGTCCAGCCAAATATAAAGAAATCACACTATCACGCATGAATTCCATCGCGAAAAACTTTTTTGTGGAAATTCTCACCAAAATGCTTTTGTACGCTTGTAAACAATATAATGAGCTGTCAATGAAATAATTTTTTACGAGTGGCTTAGAAATGACAGCAGTCTGAAGTTGGTTGCATTATTTTTATCTCGCCCTGTAATTGTACGGAAAACACTGATCCGTACTTAGTTTTGTATTGCGTGAAGGGATAGAGAAAAAATTCTGAAAATTAATATTTAGATTACTGATGGTATCAGTGTTTGAGATTTAGCGGTGGTTTGGAAGTGCGTCCTTTATTCGTACGAACAGTACAAAATGGTACTAAATTTAGTGTTATTTGGTTTTTGTCATATACAAAGGGACTCCTTTAGTCCCTAGTGGACATAGCCTCAAGGTGTGGACACATAAGCAGCTCATAAATGTATGCCAAAGCCGCACTCGAATCCTGCCGTCGTTTCCCGTTATAATTTGACATTAATATCCTTAGTCATGACGCCAAGCTGCTTATGTACCCCCACCTTTATTGACATTGATTTAAGTCGGATCTATGACTAAAATGTTCCTTGTAACGAATCAGACTTGATTTTCCTGTCAATGAAATATAAAATAATTTTTTCAATAAGAATTTTTGATAAACGTAATTTGTCGTTTTATAATTTTTGTAAAGTCAACCCAAACTTAATTCAAAAATCAATTGGAGGATTACACACATGCCTCATGGAACGACAGCAACCAATTTCAATTATCATTAAAGCTGTTGGGATATTGGAAGACTGGTACATGAAACAATATTTTTATGGAGAATTGAAGCCAAATGAATCCCTTGCTTTAAAATTGAAGGAAGTCAACACCATGAAAGTGAATCTCCGTCAAAATATCAATTGAAGTTCTTAAGATCTTAATATTTCAATGCTACAGTAAGTCCAAAAGTGTTTTATTCTTCTTTCTCCGCTTAAAAGACTCAGCTTCCTTGTTGTTACGTTCGCTTGACGGAGATTTGTGTGAAAATTTGCATCAATGGAAAGCTAATGTTGAACGCCACGGTACCATGGTTTTTAGTGCTTCTTTATGTAGATTTAACGGCATGGACATTCACCACGAACAAAAGTTTTTGTCGAGCTAATTTGTGGTCAGTTTACGTGAAAAGGTGAATGTATATTTGCTCTATGTTGGTTGCAACCTTCACAATATCCTTTGTGGCATTGGAAAGTTTGTCTTCATTTCTGCTCGAATCACATATTTTTTTGTAAGTTTTATGGAATTGAGAATGGACCACGATGTGCTAGAGCCCGCAGATAACAGTTCTATCCAATTTTAGGTGTCTGAACGGTTTACATCGGGGCCAGAATCCTTGTCCTATGAAAATTTTTAATGGGACAATATATTCCTTATAAATAGTAACAGTGCAGAACTGGTAAGTTTATTGCCAAATTTTTGTCAAAGGAAGTCTTCTTGGCCGACCTTAGCTACAATATCGTATTTATAATTTTCATTGAGAACGTAAACAATTTTAGAATGGAAACTCATTTTAGTCTAAGCTTGATAAAACGCTACTGAATACCGATTTTCCGATTTTAGTCAAATATCCCAATCAATCCCAATATCCAATTCTTTTTCTACCACTTCCACAAGTGGTCAACAATTTTAGTAATCAAAACTCTTATAAAATGGGAAATTATTTCACAGTTCTCTCCAAAGTTCAAACATTGCAATATTTGTATTAACATTAGATCTAGTGTATAGATGAGATAAATAGGCCTAATCTTTATGGGACCTAAAAGATAAAATACAGAGGGTATATATATAAATCTGTCATGACATGGAGAAGGAAGCGAGATAGACCCATACTTACTTTTGAGGATCTTTATAGAATCACTTTCTGAGTCGGTTTGTGCCTGTAAGTCCGTCCGTCCGTCTGTCCATGTATTTCTGTGAATAAAATGCAGGTCACATTTATTATCCGATTGAGGTGAAATTTTGCGAACGATACTTGTTTGGCTTGGATGATAATCGATTCAAATTTAGATATATAGCTCCCTTATATATCTTCATCTGAATATGAACTGAATCGTGGCAGTTGCGACTGAATTCATTCTAGAAACAAGTACTTCAAATTTGGTGAAAATGGCTCAGATATAGCTATATCTGTTATGTTTCATCCGATTTGGTGTTTAAGTCACCTTCGTATTATGCACTCCACAAGAATGATATTTGGTACCAGATATCATATACAGCTCAGAAATAAATGTTTAAAATATTGTCAAGATCGGTTCAGATTTCGAAAGAACTCCCATATATAAATGGCAAATATCAGTCTAAATGGACTGAATTTTGGCAATTTCGACTTAATTTATCCGAAAATCAAGTGCTCCAAATTTAAAGTTTAAATCGGTTCTGATAAAGCAATAGCTTCCATATATATGTTTCAACCGATTTAGTGTTAAAATCTCTCACATGCGTACTACAATGATATTTGATACCGGACATCAGATACTGCTCCAAATTTTATCGAGATCAGTTTAAGATCTTTATATCGCTTCGATATATATCTTTATCCGATTTTACGGTTATCGCTTACCATACAGGGTGAGGTGAAAAAAATGCAACAAACTTCAGACTGCTGTCATTTCTAAGCAACTCGTCCGAGAGTGACATTCCTGTGATTCTCAGTGACAGCTCATTATATTGTTTACAAGCGTA